AACCATGAATCCGCTGTGGCGAGGTTTGACTGTAATCATTTAGCATCTATTAAGTGTATAATAATAAAATTCAACAGCGCGTGATTATTTTGTAAGTAAAGAACGATCGAATTTACCAGTTAAAAAAATTCCACGTGACTAAATTAACCGGTTAACCTTTAATAGAATCTACAAACGCAGTAGACAAAACCGCATATCAAAAAATAACCAAAAAATTAATTAAAATAATTAATAATTTGATTTTTTTGATTTATTTAAAAATCTATGGAAAAGAGTTCTCTGAAATAATAACTTCCCTCATTAAAAGTGCCAAATTCACTGTTGAACAAGTAAATTTGATTAAGAACCTAATGTGAAACCAGAAGGTTTTCTTTCAAAAAAAACTCAGAAAATTGTCACAAAACATTAGAAAAAAAGGAAAAAGCGACACTCTAAGATGGGCAAACAAGTTTCATTCAAATAATCGTGTATATATTAATATATTTGCGGAATTTAATTACGAAACTTTTATTTACTATTACTATCACGGTTTTTCCATTTGTATTTTCGGAACTAACTATACTGATGACTCAATTACCGATCATATCCCTTTTTTCAAGTGGAATAATGTATGCCACAATGCTGTTGAATGGCCATATAGAGCACAATATTATAATATATATGCTCCGACAAAAGAAACCAATTGGTGGTGTGAAATTAGCCAAAACTAGAGTTTCGAAAATCAAAAAATTTTGACTTTCTCCTCTTCAAAATAGTTTTGGCAACCAACACTAGTGTAAATACAAAACTTCATCTCTTTCATTAATCCACTTAATCGAGACTTTTAAAAGGTATTTTTTTCTGACAACATTTTTTCCAACTCTTCCCTATGATACAATTTGCGTAAATTGCAAAGTGAAGAAGCATGTAATTTAAAATATTGTAAACAAATGCCATTGTTTTTACTATATACAATTAATTGTTTTTTAAAAATAAATGCCATTTTTTTAATTGTTTTTACTATTTACAATTAATTGTTTTTTAAAATAAATAATAATAAAAATAAATGCTCCTATTTAAATAGGACCATGTTTTCCAATGTTGCCTATTTTCGGTTTTTTTCTACAGAACCCCCTATGATTCTTTTAATAAATTTTTTTCTATTTAGAACTTTACGTATAGTCAGCAGATTATATGACATAAAATCCTTCACTGTTATCAAAATTTTCTTCGAATCCCAGTCCAGCTATGAATGAAAAATTAAATAAAAATTAGTAAGAATAAAATCATAAAATTTAAATAATAGATGATAAATGAACAAACAGATCAATTTCTTACCTCTAGCAACAAGAGCTGCTGATATACATAAATTAACAATTGCAGAATCTTGGTGAGTTTTTAAAAATAAATCCTTTTTTGTTTTGTTTTGATCATTGTTGCCAATCCTCCTTAGTTTTCTTCTGAATTCGGCTAATTTGATATTCTCGTTGTTATATTTACTATCTTTAAGATATCTATACAAAAAATTCTCGATTTGACTTGCAGTTGGTCTTTCAGTGGGATCAGGATGCCAGCATCGTTCCATCAATTCGGCATAAAATTTTGGTGTATCATCGGTGATATCTGGTCTCCTTCCATTCAAAATTTCCATCGTAAGGTCAATATTATGTGATCTGTCATCAAATGGCTCCTTGCCAGAAGTATATACCCACATTATCATCCCAAAGCTATATACATCGGATTCTTTTGTATATGGCCTGCCTAATAATACCTCGGGTGCCATATACGGCATAATACCATAAACTTGATTATTTGGATTATTTTCTTTAGCCGGCTCGCATAATCCTAAATCTGCTATAATGCTTTTTTCGTCTATCAAAATATTGCGGCTATGCAGGTCGTGATGCACAAAATTTTTAGTATGAATTTTATTTAACCTGATGAAAAATAAAGACTATTTATTAGTTTATCATTTAGAAAAAATTAAAAAATCACAAAAATACAAAAATTCAATTTACCCAATTGAAATATTCAAAACTGATGCTAATTTTTTTTCCCAGGAAAAATCATTAAAGTTCTTTGACAAATAACTATGTAAATCACCCCATTGTGCGTATTTAAGTACTATCATATAATTATTTTTTGCATCTTTCGTAATTCCGTAGCACTTGTTAATAAAATGGTCAGGGGTGTTATTTTCCTTGTAAATTCTTTTATGTGCTTCTAGCTAATAATTTTTAATGGTTCAATAATTTAATAATTAGCAATTTATTAATAAATACTCTAAAATCAAGGAATTTTATTTACCTCTTTTAATATTATTGTAATAGCATTCCGTGAGTCGTATGCACTTTTCAGTACAACTTTTTTACTACAGAATTTACTAGACCAATTGGCAGTGTGTATAATTCCGAATCCTCCTTCAGCCAACAATTCAACATTATAAAATTCTTCATATGAAATCCATTTAATCTTGTTTCCATCCGTTCTACAATTATGAAGAAAACTTGCCAATGTTATATTTCCGCATTGCTTCGTTAATTTTTCAATTTTGTATTGATTTATTAACTTTTCATTATTGCAGTTGTCTTCGTCCACGCGGCCTTTTGATTTATTATATAACATTTTTTCAAATATCTAAAATATCGAGTTTTAATAAACAATTTATAGTTGTTGAATAAATGAAATAAAAAAATAAAGCTGGGAAGAGGTTACTCTTTTATATTTATCAAACTCTTATGGGTTGCATAGTAAAAATTCCGCTTTTTATTATTCCGTCAACACAAACTTTTGATAAGGTCTGTGTAACAACCTTCAATTTCAAAAAAAAAATTTATCACAGTGACATTTTTATAATAAATATTTTTTAGAATAATAAACTTTTTCATGAAATTGTTCCCCACATTATTATTATGTGTAAAAAATGTAGGTTAAAAATAAAATTTTAGAAGTATATAGTAATTAAGCCTTGATTTTATAACAAAAAATATAGATACAAGGTCATATTATTTATAGGTAAAGTTTGATTAAACGATAGCCAGTTTTGGTTGAATAAGCCAATAATGGGCAAAAAAGATAAGAACAAGTAACTTTTTTATGAATTTACTTACTACAAGGCGAGACACAATTTTTGTAAATAACATTCAAAGAAGTTTAATGATTATGAAACTTTGAGGTTTTTATATGGTTATGAAAAATAAATGAAAGAATTTCCTAGACGTGAGTCGGATCAATTGATCAAACGTTTCGTTAAAACAGTTTCAAAGAAAAAGCGTTATTTTATATGGAAAAAATTTTTATCTCTCTATAAATAGTGCTCTACAAGGGCCATATATGGTTATATTAAAAGTAATTACGTCACACTTCAACTGTAATTTAGATCAGCGGAAAAAATAGACTATGTAAACTGGTCGGTAAAAGAAATACCTGAAACTTTATGAAAGGATTATTTAATAGACAGAATTGAATCCAAATTTTTTATTTATTGAATTATTTGAAGGAAAAAGCGTTGCTGCCTCAACTATTAAAAAATTTTATCAACAAAAACTAATTCTAGAAGAAAAACTAACAGTGGGTCGGTAAAGAAAGAAGAGATTAAAGATGACGAAGACAATGAAAACATGCTCTGACAACTTTTAAATTTTTCTATTAATTATTTTTTCCTTTGTCTCTGCAAATAAATCCCAAGTTATGTGCCTGTATATACAGGTGCGATTGGCTAATCTCATTTTCATACACACATGTCCATAATATTTAAGTATCCGATTTGCTACAATGCAGGTCATCTATAATCATTAATTGCTTATAGTAACAATTGTTCAGCTTCAAAATATTAAAACAAAAAATTTTTATGTCATTTAAAAAAATTAACCGATAAATTTTATTTTTTATAACTCAATCTTCAAAACTTATCGACTAGTTTTTTTAAAACTAAAAATTGACAGAGCCTTAGCATTTTGAAAATTCCAAATTTTGTTATATGCCTAAGAAGTTGAGACCAAGTAAATTTTTGTGTAACAAAAATTTTTTTCATAAAATAATTTTTACAACATATATTGAATTATTTGTATTATTTACTTCCTTTTTTTTTATTAATAATAAAAAGTTTAACATTTATAAATTTTAATAAAGAAAATCTTGTTGAACGAGTTGGAAAAGTTTGAGAGAAGAGGATGGAAGAACGATGAAGAGAAACAAGTTAGAAGAAGAAAAGAAGGAGTTGAAGACAAGAAGAATCAAGTGGAATCAAGTGGAGAGAAAGGTAGCGATACAAATTGCATCAATTTCACATACAACATAACCATAGATTTCAAAGTCGTGGCGCAGCGTCTACTATGTAATATTTTATGTGATAAAAACACTCTTAACAATCACGTTAGGAATTTTTTTTATTTATTGTGGTATGACATTTATTATCTTTAT